TCAACACGGCTGAGATCAAATTTAAAAAAAAAAAGGGTTCGGGCTTTAACCTTCTAAAGAAGCTGAATCCTGTATGTTTATACTTTTAATATGGTGGATCTAGTCGTATCTTTTCTGATGCAGCTTTTGTGAAATTTCTGCTTTCAATATGGCGGATCTATTCGTAGGCCTACCTTATCTGAAGCAGCTGCTGATAGGAACTTCAGTATTCTTGTACTGATCACAATCCAAATCTTCTCTCCTTACTAGTGTCGCCTCACATTCTATGTGAATAGTCAAAACTTCACGTCTGCTGACATAGAACCCCACCCCCCCCCCCCCCCCCCGTTCTTAATCTGAATTAAATCCGCTCTGGCTTTGTCGATCTTATCTTGACCACAGCTTTTTTCAGGCATGACCAGAGACGCGGAGAACTTGCTTCCTTTGACGAAAACAAAAATGCTTGTGAGTCGTTTCCAAAGCACGTCACAGAACTAATCAATTAATCACCTCATAACCCGGGGAGGGGGGGGGGGGTGGAGCACCACAGTTAAATTGTTTTTCTTCTTCTTTGTTCTTTATTTTAGTGTTGGAATCGCAATCAAGTATAGGTGTCTACTGGTTATGCGCCATTGAGGCCATTGATTCCGATTTCAGCCTGCTTTTCTTTTTGGATTTGCTTCCATAGCCTTTGTTCAACCAAGAACAAACTACAAGGCAGCAGTTGTTTGATTTTGGAGTTGTGTATCATTTTCGCCATTTATTACAGTTTTCTGATGCTTTAAGTATTGGTGTGACGGTCAGTCCAATCCATTCTATGATATCCTCCATCCAATATCGCCTTTACTTTTTCGTCTTCTTCCTTCTGACCCAGCATGATTGTTTTTTTTTTCAACAGGCCGTTAGCTCGTGTATCCTGCCTATACCATTTGAGTTTCTTTGTTTTAATGATACCTAGCAGGTTCTCAAATGGCCATTCATGATTCTTTCTTTGCTTTCTTAATTTTTTCATCTAAATGATGTTGGCTCGTGTTATCGGCCCATACCATCTGAGTTTCTTATTTCTGATGATATTTAGAAGGTTCTCAAAGAGGCCACATGTGTGATTCTTTCACGGAACTTTTCATTTTTCATCTAAAGGGCGTGGTTGTGACTGTTACAGTTGATGATAAGCATGTTGAACTGTGAGGATATCGATCCCACTCCGGGACATCACAGAGTTCTCAGTAGAAAGTAAAGTTCCCTTTCGTGCCTGACGGCCCACGGGGCAGAAGAAGTAGAGGCCATCTGTTTCTGTGACCTTGGCGTATGTGTGGTCATCACAAAGCCTATCCGCCATTACTTTCCCTAACATAAGTCAGGTCAGGTACCCATCAGAGGTGTGGACTCAGGGGCCTGCTACGGCTCTAGCCAGGTACCCGAACTGGGTACCAGCCATGTGTGTCGCTGGGCATACAGCATAGTGTGTAAAGTATTATGTTTATATAATCATTACTTCTTTACTTGTTCGTGTTTTCACATGCGTGTGTACACAGCGAGTACACGTGCATGTGACACATAGCTGTGTGCTCACACATCTCATCATGACTGACTTGTGTTTTGTAAGCGTCGCGAGCCGCTTCACGCATGCGCATTTAAATATGCGTGTAACGGCTGGTCTGCTTACGTAACAGACGGTAAAAATAGTTTGGCCTTCACCTGCACGCTCTAGTTACGACACAAAAATATTTACAGTTGCATTGTTATACATAAGCACAGAGTGTTGTTTGAAGAAAGCAATATTGATGTTATTGGATTATTTAGGAAAATGAAAAATGGCAAAAAAAAATGAACACGAATACTGCGTGGAATGTTCATCAATACTTATACAAAATTATCACGTGACTAAAAGAAAATGCTAATATAAGTAGATATATTTTAGAGCATTATTGTGCGATTCGGTAGTATAGTGGTTAGTACGGCACCCTCTTCCAGGGGGTGAGACCAGGGTTCGAATCCCTGCCGGATTGATTTACATTTTTTAGAGAAATATTTTAAGGCTTGGATGTCTAGTGTAGTAATATATTCTGACTTGCATATGTGACTTCTACAGAACAAGAAATTGGGCTTGAAATGAAAGTACAAGGACCCCTGCAAGATGAAATATAGCATGGTTAATGCTGGAATAATTTTAACTGTCGCATAAGGCTCACTACAAGGAACTATCGTTGGAAAGAAATGCCCAGGACATCAAGCCCTAAGCTACAAACTTGAAACTTCCCCTTCCTAGTGCATTCAATGTCACCAAAATCGGAATCTACCTGTATTCATCATCATCTTTGTGACATCATGTCGAGAAATTAGAATATCAATACAGTGGTACCTCGACAGATGAGTGTCCTAACATACGATTTTTTAATATACGAGCCGTAGAGTGAGTGATGTTTTGATTTGAAATATGAGCAAAATATGAGACACGAGGAAACAGATTAGCTGGGGATTTTTCAGTTTGTTGAAAAGAAACACCCAGAAAAAAAATTGCAATCAATTCTGCATCGGTTAAATGACACTTGTCACATTTCCGCAACATTCTGGAAGAGAGGAAAAACAAACCTCATTTGACAGTTTTTTATTTTTATATAACGGCCTGTTGGGGAAAGTGTGGTGAAAAAAGCAATGACCATTAAAGAAAGAGAAAAAAAAAGCTCTGACGAAAATTTATTGAAAGTAACAAAACGTAGTAGGCCTACAGTGGTATTTAAATTCAGTTATATTCAGTGAAGTTTAGTTGAATTTCAATGAGTGATAAAGTTTAGCATTGAGAGTATAACGAGAAAGTGAGTTAGAGGGAAAGTTGGAGTTTAGTAAGTGAACGAAGTGAAGTGAAGCTCAGTCGCAGAGTTTCTTCCATGCATCTCTTCGGGGGGAGGGGGAGGGGTCTCCACTAAGTGTTTCTTTCTTACCGTGCCTGGAAGAAACACTGGTTATCCCTCGGTCACAGGATAAAAAAACACAGAAAAATGCAAGCTTATGCTAGGAAACAAGGAAACAAAGTCACAGAAAAAAAATAAACCGGGAGTGATCTCCCCTAAATTTTCTCGAATATTCTTATACGAGCCGACCCGCGGCGTATCATACGCCGCTATTTAGTTGTTTTATTTTCTACTTTTCAGTAATTCATAATTTGTGAATTCGACAGTACCAATGCTGCCACTGAAAATATTTGCTTTTAAAACACTATCAGTAGGTCGTTAAGGACGATACTACCCCCACCCTCCTTTCCCCCAACCCCCCTAACCCGCCCCCCCCCTGAAAGAAGCCTCCTCTTAGTTACCTCCCCTAAGTTTATAATTGTTTCAAACGAAATTATCTGCCCCTAGTAACCGTCACTAAACCCGGCTCTATGATAGTAAACATTTAGCGTGAACCAAAGCTCACCAGACCATGTAGGGGTGGGGTGGTAGGGAGCACGCTTACAGCTTGTTTTCTAGCGTCTCCAAGAAGAGAATTATATATATACGAGCCGGCCCGCGGCATAACATACGCCGCTATTTAGTTGTTTCTAATTTTCAATAATTCATAATTTGTGAATTCGACAGTACCAACGCTGACACTGAAAATATTTCTTTAAAACACTATAAGTAGCTCGTTAAGGACCATAACCCCCCCCCCCTTCCTCCCCCCCCCCCCCCTACGTTTAAAATCGTTTGCTCTGCTTGTAAACATTTAGAGTGAACACAGCTCACTAAAACCATGTAGGGGTGGGGAGGTAGGGAGAGCGTTTGCAGCTTGTTTTCTAACGGCTCGAAGAAGAGAATTATATATATAGATATAACACTACGTGGTATGGCTACTCGGGATATAGACATGCTTTTTAATCAATGTTTGAATATTTTACTTTTTAAAATAGAATAGAATCTCGTAGACAAAAGAATTGCGCACCAAGCGAACGCCAAAACAAAATGTGCATAATAGTGCGGATAATTATAAGTACTTTATAAAAATAGCGTAAATTACTACTTCCGGTCAAAATTTGATAGAAGGCAGATAATTACATCTTTTACGTACATGTGAAATTTCATTTATCTATCTTGAATAGTATTCAAATTATAGGCTTTTGAAAAATTCAAAGTAGAAAAAGTTCCACTTCCGGTTATCGGAAATCGCTCAAAAGTTGATAAGGATCTACGATTTTGATGTAATACTTATATATGAAATTTCATCAACCTAGCTGTAACGGTACTCAAGTTATCGTGTTCACAGACACACACACACACACACACACACATACGGACAAGATTGCAAAACTATGTTTTTCCGAGCTGTAAAATGTCGAGATTGGCTAAAATCTCGATTTTTTTTTGCACGATTACAAAACATTCTCTATACTTTGTATATACGAGAAAGTAAAAAAGTCACGGGGTGGGGGGGGGGGTGTTTCCACAGATTGAATTCTACATTATTTTCTATAAAAAAATCTATTTCGATCGGGGGACTCAATCTAGACGTTCTTCTGGGATTACTCCCCTCTCCCTTCCCTAAGAGATGCATGATACAAATACAATCTCTATCATTTATCTGTATAGGCCTGTATAATATCTTATTAAAAAAACACGTATAAAAAAACAACTGGTAAGGCATTTTAGCGGCTGGAAAAGATATTAAATTGCATTTCAATTATTTTCAACGGAGAAAATTGCTTTGATATATTCTAGATCTAGGTTTAGATAGACAATTTTACGTGCAATGTTACGAGGCAATTTAAGAGGCGTGTTATAAATTTTGAGTTCATCTAGATCTAGGCCCTATTAATTTTAATTTTTTAATCATTGCTATAGAATAGGCCTAGATCTGGAATCTAGACACAGAATGGCGAAGGCTGTTTTAAAGTGTTTTAGAACTAGGCTACAGATCTATATATAGATCTAGGTCTAGTATATAATTATAGAGATTCTAGACTAAATCCAGATCTAGTCTAGATTCTAGGCCTAGTGTGTTGATTTATTTCAGAGTTCTTTTTTTTTTCTTTATTGAACGGAAGTTGGAAAAGTGAGCAGCAAGCGAAAGTTCAAATAGATCTCTCTAATCTAGATAATCTAGACTAGAAATCATGATCAAAATATTCTAGATCTAGCTATTTCTAGATTCTAGATCTAGATCTAGATTCTATATTATAAGATATATATTATATTATTATATCTCAATTCATAGATTTTTTTTTCTATTTTGCAGATAATTACTAAATTATTAGTTGTAATAATGTCGGTAAGTTGTTAATAATAATTATTATTAATTAATGATTAATTAATATAAATTATTAACTAATGTTCAATTTAATTTTTTAGTACTTTACAAATAGTAATAGTATTACTATTAGATCTACTATTAGTATTACAGTGATACTAATAGTAGATCTAATAGTAATTTTTATTTTAGTAATTAATTAATTTCCCGATTAGGCCTAATTAGTAATTAATACTAGTGTCTAGAGTCTAGGTTATTACTTTTTTATAGTTTATAGTATAAAGTTTATAGACTATACTAACTAATGGACACTAATGGTCACTAAACGTCTATAATAGTCTACATTCTATGTATTGTATAGTAGATCTATAATATATAAATATATATATATAAACAGTGGCGTAGGCAGGTGGGGGGGGGGGTTAGGGGGTGCAAATCAAAAGTTTGAGGGGGGGGGGGGTGCAAATCGAAAGTTTGAGGGGAGGGGGTGCAAATCGAAAGTTTGAGAGGGGGGGTGCAAATCAAAAGTTTGAGGGGGGGGGGGTGCAAAATCAAAAGTTTGTCCCAGGGTAAAAATTGGAACCCCCCTTGAGACGATATTGGCTACACCACTGTATATATAGAATCTATAGTATTCTATAGCCAGCCGATCATACACTATTCTCAACGACACTGTCGTTGAGTGGCTTATCAACAGTGTCGGTATATAATAACGCTATAGATTTTTTCTCATTTGATTCTGTCGTTGAGACTCTAATTATAGTTATAAACTGTAAAAACTAGTTAACGGAATAAAACCATTTCGATTAATTAATCGCTTAAAATATTTAATATAAGAAAAATTAAACAACCATTCACTTTACGGAGCTAATAATAATTAATATTATAAAAAATGTATCTTCTGTCTTTAAAATTGAAAATTAAATTATTTTTAGCAATATAAATTAATACAGTGGATTGCTGAATTTAATTGTGATCATAGTTATGATTAATTTTAGAGATTATATGATTAATTTATACACAATTAGAATTACAGAATATTGATTATTCGGTATAGAAAACATTAGGGTAGAGATTACTAAACGATATAATATAGGATTATGTAATATAGAATATATTAGTATATTATTATAGAATCTAGGCTATACAACAAGTAATACATGATATGATTGCAAAATAGAAAAAATACATAATATAAAGGCCCATTTTGTAATCGAATTTAAGACTCATTTCGTTTACAATATGTTATTACAAATATAAAATTGTAGAATACGTAATAGCTATTTTTATCGAATTTATACATAGAATGTGCTATATAATCTTAAGAACATGTTTATGTAGTGGCGTAGGTACAAGGTGTGCCAAGGGGCTATACCCCCCCCCCATAAATATAAATATATATATATATATATATATATATATATATATATATATATATATATATATATATACATATTTACTGTACTCAAGTAGTACCCCTAACCAGAGGCGTCACAAGGTGGGGGGCGGGGCTGAGGACTGCGCAAGGTGGCAAAATTTCGGGGGTGACACCATGGCGAAAAATAGCAAAATATATAGAAGAAGTATGCATTTTGCCAGTTCAATAAATGACTAATGAGAGTTAACTGTACTAATAACTGACTGCAGATAAAAAAAATATACAATTAACTGTGCACGTTTAAAAACTATCACCCAGGGGGGGGGGGTGAAGGGAGATGACACAAACGGCAAAATGTACAGGTGAATACATGCTTGTTGAATTTTTGGATAACAGATTTGCTAAGCGACGACCGGAGAGAGGCTGATACCAAAATCTAATAATTTACGATGAAAACGATGCTTTTTTTCACATGAATTAATAGGTGGATTATGTGCAAAATTTGACGCCATTGTGGAAAATGGGAAGTCACCAAATGTAGCTATATATATATATATATATATATATATATATATATATATATATATATATATATATATATATATATATATATATATATGCAGAATTATGTATATTTCTCTCTATGTATATATATAATGAAGTTTTGCTTGTTTGTTTGTGGGTTTGTTTTTGTCCTCTATGCAGCACTACACCTTTCATCCTATGGCCATGCAACTTAAGAATACCACTGGATATATTTCACAAGCATGGTGCCCCAGCAGGGCGCGAATCGATTCTTCCCTATATAGGGTATATATACGAAAAAGTAGATTGCGGTTTAATCCCGTTCATCCGCTCGCCATAAAACTTCAGGGGAGGTTACAGTAAGAAATTCTTTTATTTTATTTTAACAGGGCGGCGCTCCTGGAGGGTGCAATTTTTCTCTACACAGTTTGTAAAAAACAAAACGGATGCTGTTTGACATCGTTCATCTGAGTGCCGTTAAACTTTCGAGAGTTAATGAAACCACTCACGAGAAGGTTTCTGCGAAAACAAAAATTAAAATTTATTATGGGCGTTTCCCTGGAGGGTGCGATTTTTTTATAAAGGGCTTGGCGCCCGAAAATCCAGGGCGGCGATATTAAAACTTGAGCCTTCTGCATGGGGGCTAAGGTAAAAAAGCAACAACAGGCGCAGCCGCCGGCGCCCCGGATATTACGTAACCCGAAGCGCCCCGTGCTACCATGTGAACACTATGACGCCTACGTTCGTTTTTTTTTTTAATTTATACACTAAAGACACGATGGACAACAATAATTGTTGACTATATGGAATTAGGCGCGTCTGCCGGCGCCCCGGCAGGATGCGATTTGGCGCCCTGGGATATCCTGAGGTTGTGTTGAAGAGCACTCTACAATATTGACTCTGTGGCACACGACATTCGATGACAATTCTTTTGACCCGGTGCGCCCCTGGCTTCGGGAGGAACACTATGAGTTTTAAAAGAGCGCCCTACAGTAGGGAAACTTTTGTCTACTGCACCACTGGCGTGTGGTCTAGCGCCTCTGTGTGGGTCCCTCATAAACAGTATTGCGCCTACGTTCGTTTTAAAGAGTGCGATACATTATGGATACAATGGGCTACTGTGTGCGGTAGAATTTGCGCCTCAACAACTATGATGAAAGCAATATATTACCGGCTTTGATTACATTTAAATTGTTTAGATTTAGAAATCAATGTCAAGCGTAAAAAAAATACGTGTTTGCTAATGTAATTATGGAATCCTCTTAAAATATTGCGTCAGTCTGTCTTCTGAGACCGCAGCAACGCGCGGGACGGGTACGCTGGTTTAATATATATTTCTTCTATATAAATAATTCTCTTCATGGTTACCATAGAAAACACCAAGCGGTAAGCGCCCCTAGCAGCCCCCTCTCTTTCTCTCTATCTCTACTACCCCCATCCATACATGGTCTGGTGAGCTGTGGTTCAAGCTAAATGTTTACAATCGTAGAGCCGGGTTTATTGACAGCTATTAGGGGCAGATAATTTAGTTTGAAACGATTTTAAACTTAGTGGAGGTAACTCAGAGGGGGCTGCTTTCACTGGGAGGGGGGGGGGGTAGGGTTTGTGGGAAAGGAGGGTGGGGAGGGGGAGGTTATCGTCCTTAACGAGCTAGTGATAGTGTTTTAAAGCAAATATTTTCAGTGGCAGCATTGTTACTGTCGAATTCACAAATTATGAATTACTGAAAAGTAGAAAATGAAACAACTAAATAGCGGTGTATGATAGCGGCTCGTAAAATATAAAACACAATGTCAATACTTTTGTTATACCTAAGGAAAATAATAATATGTAACATGGATTCCTGAAATTTTGCCCTGTTTTAATTTTTAACGTTGGGATCCTCCATCAACATCCATACTCTCCTTTAGTATGTTCAGGCTTTTTTTTTCATTTATGGGAAGGGGTGATCGGAAAGTGTGACGACACATTTTTGCTTTCATCCGTTATTTCGGGCTTTAAAAGGTTGCTTTTGGTATTAATTCAATTATTAACTCAATGTTTATCGAGGTAAGTACATATTATAATAAACCGGGAGTGATCTCCCCTAAACTTTCTCGAATATTCTAATATAACACTACGGGGAATGGCAACTCGGGAAATAGACATGATTTTTAATCCACTTTAAATACTTAAACTTTTTAAAATAGAATAAAACCTCGTAGAAAAAAGAATTGCACACCAAGTGAACGCCAAATAAAGATGTGCATAATAGTGCGCAACATTATTAGTACTTTATAAATTTACGTGCGTTTTTTGAGAAATCGGAAATAGCGTAAATTAGTACTTCCTGTCAACGGAAATTACTCAAAATGTGTCAGAAGGCAGAGAATTAGATCTTTTACTTACATGTGAAACTTCATTTATCTATCTGAAATAGTACTCAAGTGATAGGCTTTTGAAAAATTCAAAGTAGAAAAAGTACCACTTTCGGTTATCGGAAATCGCTCAAAAGTTTATACGGATCTACGATTTTGATAAAATACTTATATATGAAATTTCATCAACCTAGCTGTAACGGTACTCAAGTAATCGTGTTTACACACAGACACACACAGACACACAGACATACGGACAAGATTGCAAAATTTTGTTTTTCCGTATCAGTGAGGTGTAAAACGTCGAGATTTGTTAAAAAAAATCTCGATTTTATTTTTGCACGATTACAAGACTTTCTCTATACTTCGTATATACAAGAAAGTAAAAATGCAGTTTCAGGGGAACGGCGGAGGGGGTTATGTGTTGAGGAGTGGTGTTTTTAAAGAGAGTGGTGGGGGGGGGGGGGGGGAGCGAAGATCTGGCTTTTTGTGAAAATGTGTTACAATTAGAGAAGGGGGGGGGTGGGTGCAAAATCGTCTGAAGAGTGAGTCGTCGTTAATGGATGACCACTTTATGATGACGTCACCATCATTTTGGGCGGTGGCTTTATGTGACGATATGTAACGAGAAAAAAGAGGGTTGAGTTAATGGCGTAGCATTTATTTTGCATTTTTTAAGGATACAAATAATAAAAACACTGCTTATTTTGTTTTACATGTGTGACGACATTGTGTTAACCAAATGTATTGAATAGTAGGAC